ATCAACTATCTTGTGAGTACGTATCATGTGTATCATGTGTATCATGTACCATATGCATCATATGCAACAGATGTTCTGTGGAAGGCTTAACAACTTCTGTGGGTTAACAAGGCTTAACAACTTCTGTGGGTGTACGAACGTAGGCTTAACAACTTCTGTGGGTGTGTACTCCACGCCAGTGTAGTAGCCACGGTCGTCCGCAGGCCACGAAGTGAAGTGTCCGAACGTCATAGGGCGGGAAGCTGGGTGTGGGTGGTGGCGAAGAGTCGTGTGGATATTTGGTAGAGCTTGCACTGCCCCCCCACAAAGTGGGGGTATTGGCTGGCGTCGCATGAAAACCCTGGCACTGGTGAGAACACTGAGCGTTCGGGTAAAGTGATTGTTGTTGTTGTTGTTGAACATTATTACTTCTAAAGAATAATTATTGTTGGGACCCCTGGTGCACGGCCCCCTCGCCGCGCCTAGGCCGCAGCCATGTTTTCATCATTTCCGTGAGGAAGTCTCCGGCAAAACGGGTTGGTCCGGATCCGGTTGTTTTGTTACGGGCGGTTTTCCCTTGCAAAAAATAAGGCAAAGTGGCATTTCTTGTTCGAACATAACCAAACTTTAAGAATCCCTTGCAAAAAATAAGGTAAAGTGGACATTCGCGCGCGCAAAACGAAATCCTTCCAAAACCTTAGTGTTCGTAGCGATTTTAACATAAAAACATCAAAAAACCAATGTTTTTTTTGTTCAAAAAAAATGTCAAACTTTCATCCCGCGCGCTCTTGCGGATTTGTAGGAAACCCAACACTTGTTTTAAACATTTCTGTCAAACGGGCTTTTGCGGGACCTACAGACAGTACCGGCGTCGTACTGGTTTACCGTGGTTTCCTATTCTAGCGTCAGGAATACGTTACCACCAAAAACCAGTACAGGTGTCCAGTGTTGGAAAAGGGGGAAAAGTCGTATACTAAGCTAGCGTCCAGAAAATGTTACCACAACAAGTCACTGTACCCATGCGCCAGTGTAGTAGCCACGGTCGTCCGCAGGCCACGAAGTGAAGTGTCCGAACGTCATAGGGCGGGAAGCTGGGTGTGGGTGGTGGCGAAGAGTCGTTTGGAAATGTGGTAGAGCTTGGACCGGCCCCCCCACAAAGTGGGGGTATTGGCGGGCGTCGTATGAAAACCCTGGCACTGGTGAGAACGGAGTGTCCCCACGTGCTAGTAATTGTTGTTGTTGTTGTTGTTGTTGTTGTTGTTGTTGTTGTTGTTGATCTCTCATTATTGATTTAATCATTGTTGATCCCCTCTCATTGGCGCACATGTGTTTTTCAATTGAAGTGCCCCCCCTCGGGGCTTGCCCCTTGTTCTTAATCAAACAAAGGCTGCCTGCTAAAACTGCGTTGTTGGGCCCCGAACAGCAGCAATGACGGCTCCCACCTGATGCGTCCTCACAACTTATTGACAAATCGCGCTCTCGCGCGGGACGTCCTCACAATGTACGCAGGAATCGCGTTCTCGCGTGGGACTTCATCGCGATTTGTTCAGACGCCGCGCCCTCGACATTCATGAATCACACTCTCGCTTTGGTTTGTTTGACGATTTATTCGGGGATCGCGCTATCGCTCGAGACTTCTTCGCGATTCATGCGCTACAAAAACAACAATGGCTTCCGCTTGATATTGCGAAAGCCTTAGCGCCAGTGCCGCCGACCCTGAAAGGGGGACGACGACGACGACGACGACGACGGCGACGCTGACGTGGGTCAGAGTCTTCAGGGTTTGGGGTCTCTTCGGAGCGCTCTCGGAGGCATATGGGGAGCAGTTTTGGAGGCCTCTTGGGAGCATCTTGGTTGCCTCTTGGGAGCCTCTTGAGAGCCTTTCGGGGCTTCCTGCAGGCCTCTTGGGGGCCTCTTGGAGCCTCTTGGGGGCCTCTTTGGGCCTCATGGCTCCCGCTTGATACTTCCCTTACTCTTTATTCCAACATCGCGTTCTCGCGCGGGTTTTCTTCACAATGCGTGCAGGACCGCGCTCTCCCTCGGGATTTCCTCGCAAGTTGTTCTTACCTCGCGCCCTCGACACTCAGGAATCACGCTCTCGACATGGCTTTTCTCATGGTTGACTTGGGGATCGCGCTATCGCTCGAGCTCCCCTCGCGATTCCTGCATTACCCACGCTTCATCAACATGCCTTCTTGACCTGGCCGCTTTTGCCCGTCTTCCCGACCCGCCCTAGGGTCTACCCGCCCGATGGGCCTGTCTGGTTCTGCCATGTGTTTTCTGTTCCTAGCCCCCCTCCTGCTAATACCGTGCTCAATCCTTCTCTATCTTGAAGTAACAGGTTGAATGATCCACGCGGTGTGAGAAGCCAACGCACAAGTCGTCACCACACGAAGTTTCCCTACGCTGATACGGGGTTTCCCCCCATAGCCCCTCTTGTGGTGGGGCCTTCGTTGCAAGTAGAGTGCTTGCTGCTGCTCTGCTCCTCCTTCCTCCTCCCTCCTCTTCCCCACCTCTCTGCGTGATCTGTTGCTTCTTCTCGTCTCCCGCTCCCCCGAGTTGTGCCAGACGTGAAGAAGCCGTCGCGGCCTTCCTGAACCCCTGGGGGGCCCGTCGGAGATGTGATCCGCGCGGACCCATCGAGATCTCGCCTCGCCTAGGTGCCGCCAGGCGTACGCTTGTCGCCGCTCGTGCGCCCGCGGGTGGTCAAGCGCAGTGGCGACCTCCTCCCTCCTCTGCCCCGCCCCTTCCCCCTCTTCAGTTTCTCCGCTTTCCCCACTTGGTGCATGATGCAGTCTGGCCCTGCAACTCGCATACACGCCGTGTTGACCTTTCCGCCGCACGAGCTTGTTTGTCTGCCCCACGAGGAATACAGCAGCCGCATGGGTCCAAGCCAGCATGTCAGTCCGAGGCAAGGCGACAGCCCCAGCGCCAACTGGACTCGTGTAACCTCTGAAGTTAGCCATTTGTCAATGCGGCTCGCCAGCGATCATGAGGAAGAGCGTGTCTGGTGACGAGTCCAGCTGGTGGCGACCCTTTGCGGCAGTGTTCAGTCGCAGGGTTGTCAATGTCGTGATCCACACGTGCGACAAGTGTATCCGGTGGCCTTCGGCTGCCCCCCCCCCCGCTGTGCCAGTGTCGTGGACGAGAGCCCCTCGGAAGGCCTCTTGCGGCCTCTCGGAAGGCCTCTTGGGCCCTTGGGGGCTGTCTGGAGGCACCTCGGGGGCCGCCTGGGGGCTCCCAAGGCCTCCTGGGGGCTGGAGGCTCCTCCAGGGCCCCTTTGGGGCGTGTTCTGTGAGCCTGCTGGCGACTGCCTTTTGGAGTTGGCTCTCTTGGGGCTGTCCTGAGGCTTCTTGCTGGCTTCGGGGCCGTGCTGGGGATATTGTTGAGGGTTCTGTTGGGCCGTCTTGAGCGTTCGTAGGACCGAAGAGCGAGACTTCTTGGGTCCGGTCATGCCGAGAAAGCGTTTTTTTGTGTTTATCAATGTTTCTAGCTTTCCGGGTTGGTCCCCCCAGATGGCCCAACACACCCTCGAGCTCGAGAGAGACCATAGATATTTTCTTGGGTTCCTCATGACTTCCTGTACGGCATCTTTGAAATTTGGGTCACCCACGGTCCGGAGGCCATTGGAAAAATTGCGCGACTGGCTCCGAAAGCGCCCAGCAGCGTCTGGGACAGCCGAGATTTCCGGTGCGTTGGGGACAATGTGTAATTGTCATGGTCTTGTGGACGGCAAGGTTGCTGAGGCTTTTGCTGCGTGGCTAGTCGATATTGAGGACCCGAATGGACCTGAGGAACCTCCACTCAGTGCCTGGGACACGGTGGCAGATTTTCCAAGAGCAGGTAAAGGTGACCGAGCAGTTGTTGAAGGGCTGGTTCCCCAGGAATCTGAATTTTGGGCCTCACGTCGTGACTGCGGCGAGGGCGCCCCAGGCAAAGAAGTTTGCACCAGGGGGGCAGATGCAGTGTACGGAGTACCCGGACTGTCTGGTTTGTTGTTGCGATCGCAAGAACAAGTTTGACATATTCGTGGACGGCGTGCTCCTCCATTCAAGATTGGATCACGGTCACGGCTTCCTTGGCGTCGTTGGTGGTGGCAATCGCGTGAACGAAGCTATGACGTGTCGACAGGCCTCACTTCGACAAGCTATTGCCGACATTATCAAGGGCAAGAAACCCACCATTGAGAACGAGGTCGAAGTGGAGTTCAAGGCGAGCATGAAGGTTCAGGACAGGATGCTGGAAGAAAGCATAGCTGCTCAGCAAGCCAAAACAAATGCAGAAAAGCAGGCACATGAAATTGCAAAGGCCGGGCATGCCGCAGCAGTGCAAGCCAAGAAGACGAAGTCAACAAGCAAGCCAAAACATAAGCCCAAGGACGAAGCGAGTGAGCTTATGGCAATTAGACAGCAGCGGCAACCTCGGCACCATGCGCGGCCAGTTGAAACTGCGGCTTTTAGGGGTTTCCCATGTTTTTTTGGCGCGTGCTGCTGTAAGAACTCGGAGGTTACTACAGGCGACGCCAGTTGCGAAAGCGATGATACGCCCTTGCGAGTTCTATGACAGCGAAGCGGCTGGCAACGATCATGCTGCTGCTGCTTTTTGGCCAGCGGTTGTAACCTAAGCCTTGAGTCGGCCCCGAGGGGTTGCGCCACGTTTTCGGCACTTCTTGAGAGCGGATTGTACGGATCGTCGGTGATCGATCAAGGATTCTTTGTGAAACTGTCTCTTCCAGCTTTCGCGGGGAAGACCGCCAAATGCCAGGGATTATCACAAAGGATTTCCGAACACCACCGAAATACACCCGATTGCAGCCAGAGGATAGCCGATTGCCGCCAAAAGACCAGATTGGCCACAAGGGATCCATTGTCGAACGCGTAAGACATCAGATTTTCCATGCCGCATGTACTTCTATTTGCCATTGTTTCGGTGCTGCGCTCGCAGCCTGGCCATGTCTCGAGCTGCCTGACCGCAGAAGCACCCGGCCCACCCCAAAAGCAAACGATACGGGCGCGTGGACCTTGGAGATGCGTGGAGGTGGACCGCCTCCATTTGGTGTGTGTGTGTGTGTGTGGAGCCTCACGTTTCAGGAGCCTCACTTGTGGAACCTTACATCGGAGGAGGAAGAGATACCGATCCCGCTGACTGTCCCTCGTCGCCACGGCTAGATTCGCCTTGAACTCCTGGTCAGAACGCATCCCTGGAGAGGTCCAGGGAGCTGTGGTGCCGGTACCTTGTTGTCCTCCCAGAGTACGCGTGAGACCCCCCGTGTGTGGGGCCTCATGCTGCAGGAGCCTTGCGTATGGAGCCCCACCCGTGTGATCCTGAGGTGCGGAGCCATCTTGGAGGCCATAAGAGGTGATCTTGGAGGCCACAAAAAGAGTGATAAAAGGTGATCTTGGAGGTGATAAAAGGTGATCCTGGATGGCCCCCAGAGTTGAGCCATCTTGGAGGCCATGAAAAGAAGAAAATTGCCCCCGAGTCGCGCCACCTGCTCCCAAGAGCTACCGGTGACGTGAAAAGCTCTGCACGCCAAGGCTCCCAAGAGCGAGCGTTGACGTAAGGAGCTTTGAACGCCAACGCTCTCGAGAGCAACCGGTGGCGTTAAGAGCTTTGAGTGCCACGTCTCCCAGTACGAACGATGACTTCAGAGACTCGTCGCCCCGAGGCTCCCAAGAGCAGACGGTGCCATGAGCCCTCTCGGGCAGCGTCACCCTTTCAGTTTCTATGCCAGCCCAAGCCTGATACGTTTGTGGCCCGTTGGGTTGTTGGGGCCACGTATCCCGGCCGTTTTTGGGGTCTATCGGGGCCATTTGGAGCCTTTGAGGCTCTCTCGGGGCCCCCTTGGGGGCCCTGGCAGCCCTCTCGGATCAAAAAAGGCGAGTTTGCATTTCTGGACTCCCCAACTCCCCGACTCCCTAGCTCCCTGACTCTCCGACTACCCGACTCCCCGACTCCCCCGACTCGCCGCCCCGCCGATCCCCCGACCCCCCCGATTTCCCTACGCCCCCACTCCCCGACTCCCCGACTCCCCGACCCCCCGACCCCCGACTCACCGACTTCCCGACTCCACGACTCCCCGAGACACCGACTCCCCGACCCCCCGATTCCGACCACCCAACTCCCCGACTCCCCGATTCCTCGACTCCCCGACTCCCCGACTCCCGCATCCCCGACCCCTCGATTCCCCGACTCCCCCGACTCCCCGACTCCTGGATCTCCGACTTCCCGACTCCCCGACTCCACGACTCCCCCGAGACACCGACTCCCCGACCCCCCGACTCCCCTACCCCCCGACTCTCCGATTCCCCGACTCCCCCGACCCCACGATTCCCGACTCCCCGCCGACTCCTCCGACTCCCCGACTCCTGGATCTCCGACTTCCCGACTCCCCGACTCCACGACTCCCCCGAGACACCGACCCCCCGACTCCCCGACTTCCCGACCCGTCGAACCCCAGACCTCCCGACACCACCACTCCCAGACTTCCCGACTCCCCTACTCCCCGACTTTTGATGCAGCCCCAATCTCCAGAAGCAGTCATATCTTCTAACCACCGTGCCCGATGTTGTTTAGCTGACTGTTTGACTGGTCTCCTAAGCCTCTTTTCTGCTTCCCAATCTCCGTCTGCGCGAGCCTGCCTCCTCTCGTCTAGCAGAGACAAAATGCGCTGAGAGATCCATGCCGAGGCGCAAGACGAGACCTCAAGGCCGGCTGCACAACAGCCAAGGGACCCCCGTCGCCGCAGACCAGCGTGCAGACATTTTCGCACAACATCTGGATACGGTACAATGGCACGTGCGCTACGTCACGCTCACGCCGGGCACAGATCACGTTATCCTCTCCGGCCTTAGCGTCACATTGGATTCGTTCACAGAGGCGGAGTTCCGGACAGCTTTGCGAACAATGCATTATGGGAAAGCGTGCAAGCCCGACGACATCCGGGCGGAGGTGTACAAGGCGCTGGCGGACGAGTCGGGCAGTTGCAATGGGTGTTGGACATTGGGAATGCAGCGTGGGCCAACAGGAGCTCCCAGACGCATGGTGCATATCTACAGTGCGACTATTATATAAGAAAGGGGACCCAGCAAATTGCGACAACTAGCGCCCGCTGTCTTTACAATGCATCGCCATGAAGCTCTTCTCTGCCATGCTGAAGCAAAGGCTGCTGGACGCTGGCGTCGACGAGAGGCTGTGGCTTACCCAGTTCGGCTTCAGGGCGGGCTGCAGCACAGAACGCGCCATGCACGCAGCGAGGCGGCACATCGAATTGGCACGAGCTAAGAAGAATGGATCAGTTACTCTGGTTGCGCTCGACTGGAAGAAGGCATTCGACAGCATCCACACCGACAGTCTTTTGGACGCGCTCAGGCGGGTGGGGATCCCGATCGAATTCCGCGACATGATACGCGTGATGATGACGGAGAGGATGTCCGTCGTGAGCGAATGTGACAACGATTCCGCGCCAAGACCGCAGCTTTCAGGCATATCGCAGGGTTGCGCGCTCAGCCCACTGCTTTTTATCATCGTCATGACAGTGCTATTCCATGATGCTGTTGGGCTACTCGAAGGGCTTACGAAAGATGCGTGCGCCAACGGGGACATGTGTGATTGCATCTTCGCGGGCGACACTCTGCTGATCGGAACGGACGACGCGTGCTTAAACGAGTATCTGAAGGCAGTCACAGAAGCACGGCGCCGGTATGGCATGGATTTGCAGAGGGACAAATTCCAAGTCCTTGCTGTGCAGGGCAGTGGTGACATTCGAGCTCCAGATGACACCATTCTTAAACATGTCGACTGGCGTCAGTATTTGGGCGCGCACTTGTCCTCGGACGCTGACGTTGGGCCAGAGCTGGGGCGCAAGATCGGCGAGGCAAAACGGACATTTTCGTCGTTCAGTAAAGTGTGGTCCCATTCATGTTTGACATGGTGCACAAAAAACGGATATTTGCTCCTGTGGTGGAGTCTAAGATGCTTTACGGACTGGCTGACACCATGATGAACAAAGCCCAGATACGCCGTCTGGACGGCTTCCAAAACATGTGCATCAGGCAGATAATCGGCGCGCGCCCGTCGTGGCTGTCGAGGGTATCAAATGCGGAGGTGTTGAGCCGCGCCGGGCACACGGCAGCTAGCACCTAATTGTTGTGTAGGCAGATGCTTCTGTTCGGCGACGTGTTGCGCGCAAGTGAGAACAGCATGCGGCGTCGCTGCACGTTCGCGCTGAATTCTCTGACGCCGAAGACAGCGGTCGGCGCGAGGCGCGTCGGCGTGCCGAGCAGAGAGTTTGCCCCGGCGATGTTGAACATGCCGCCCGCGTTTTTGGTGATGTTCCCGCGGCGTCCGCAGCAGCTCAGTCTGGACCCGCTTGGAAGCGCACGCTGCGCCGTCACACTCTCGCAGCTTAACTGAGGTTATTTTTTGTGACATGTATCGCGTTTGTAGCATGCTGTTCCTGTCCTGTCCACGCACAGCTTGGTGTGCGACTCGCCTGGTACTCCCCGACTCCCCGACTCCCTGACCCCCCCCCGACTCCCAAACTCCCCAATTGTCCGACTCCCCTACTCCCCGAGCACCCGACTCCCCTGACTCCCCGACTCTCCGACTCCCCGCGCCCCCAATTCCCGACGCAACGATTCCCCTGACTCCCCGATTCCATGCGTCTCCGACTCCCCGACCCCACGACTCCCCGGCCCTCCGTTTCCCCGACCCGCCAACCCCCCGACCCGACCCTCTCGACCCCTGGCTCCCCGACCTCCCGAATCCCCGATTCTCCGACTCCTCGACCACCCGACTCTCCTTCATTGGCCGACACGCCCGTTTCCCCGACTCTGCGCTTCCCCGGCTTCCCGATCCGCCGACCTCCCGATTCTCCGACTCCCCGACCCCCCGACTCCCCGACCACCCGACCCCCCGTCACCCCGACTCCCCGAGTCCCCGACTCTTCGACTCTCTCGCCCCCCCGACTCCCCGACTTGCCATTTCCCGGATCCCCGACCCCCCGATCCCCGACCCCCCGACTCCCCGACTCCCCGATCCCCACGCTCCCCGACCCTCACACGCCCCGACTCCCTGACTTCCCGATTCCACGACTCCCTTACCCCCGACTCCCCGACTCACCGATTTCCCGATCCGCCGACCACCCGATTCTCCGACTCCCCGACCCCCAGGACTCCCCGACTCATCGACCCCCCGTCGCCCCGACCCCCAGATTCCTTGATTCCGTTTACCCCCAGCCCCCCGACCCCTTCTTTTTCCGGATCCCCGACCCCCCGACTCCACGACTCCACGACTCCCCGACCTCCTCATTTTCCCGAGTTCCCGACTCCCAGAACCCCGACCCTTCGACCCCGACTCTCCGACCCCCCGACTTCTCGATTCCTTGATTCCCCGTCTCCTTGATTCCCAGACCCGACTGCCAGACTCGACTCTCCGTCCCCCCATTGACTCCCCGACTTCCAGACTCCCCGACTGCTTCGACTCGACTCCCCGACTTCCTGGGCCCCCGACCCCCCGACTCCCCCGCGCCCCCGACCCCCCGACCCCGCGACTCCCCGACC